TTAAGAACATGAAACAGGACATCCACACAAAAGTGACAGACCCTTCTTCCTATTATAATCTACTTAACTACTATCTAGAAATTGACGAGCATTGACCTTTGTTATGAAAGATAAACAGTCCTGTGAGTTAGTTAGTAAATCAAAAATTTCAGCAGGAGGGATTTTCTCAGCAAAATCTCGTTTCTCCTCTTTTAGTTTATCTGTATCTCCCGGCTACAAAAGTACAGTGCACAAAGCAAGAAGCAAAACAATTTTCCAAACCAAGTCTTTTTAAAAATATGCAGGAGAAAACTTTTCTTTAAAGAAGAGCCAGCCTCATGAAGATATTTTTGTGGTGCCTAGCCTATGCATAATAAATACTAAGCCATCATCACAGTCTCACATTTCCTTCTTTCTAGGAAAATCAGGAAGTCTGCTCTTTCTAATAGATAATCAGATATCTAGTGCTCCAAATAAATTTGGGTATATATGAGGTATATGGGTATATATTTGTTATATATATACATATATATATATATATATATAGTCCAAATTTGCTCCAAATAAAACTGGGTATATATGTGTGAGATTTAAACAAGAAAATGTTGGACTATTCTTTTTAAAACAGGAAAGAAAGAAGGAAAGAAAGAAGGAAAGAGAAAGAAAGAAAGAAAGAAAGAAAGAAAGAAAGAAAGAAAGAAAGAAAGAAAGAAAGAAAGAAAGAAAGAAAGAAAGAAAGAAAGAAAGAAAGAAAGAAAGAAAGAAAGAAAGAAAGAAAGAAAGAAAGAAAGAAAGAAAGAAAGAAAGAAAGAAAGAAAGAAAGAAAGAAAGAAAGAAAGAAAGAAAGAAAGAAAGAAAGAAAGAAAGAAAGAAAGAAAGAAAGAAAGAAAGAAAGAAAGAAAGAAAGAAAGAAAGAAAGAAAGAAAGAAAGAAAGAAAGAAAGAAAGAAAGAAAGAAAGAAAGAAAGAAAGAAAGTTTATTTCTCTTCACTGAGTTATGTCTGCTAATGGCCCCCCAACATGCTAGACAGACCTGGGTCAGCTGGGTCAGACAGTAGGGTACACAAGAAAATAGCCTGTCATATCAGACACAGTTACTTGCTCCATTTAATTCTGTTCATCTGACCACTTCAAAGACTGTGCATTCTCAAATAAGTCTGTGCCACTGACTGGACTGGTTCAGACCGAGGGTCTGTCCTACCAGTACTCTGCTTCCAATGATGCTCTAGCTGTGACAGCCTGAACTGAGGGCAAACGTATACAATACTTCTCACCATTCCCTACCCCTATGTCTCTACCTCTAGCTATTTTCAGCCCAGAGGAGTTACTGGTCCATTTATGGTTTGTCTATCTAATGACCTCCTTAGGTCTCCAGTTTGCTGTGAAAACCTCTTGTGTCCACAGTGCTGTTTGGCACAGAATGCCATACGAGTTCTGCATTGCATGAAGAGTATTTACACTGCATGGTTCTAACTCCAGCAGACAACATTTAAAAGAATAACTTTTTTAGTATTGGCAGATAAAGATTATGTTCTTCAAGGCATTTGTTCCTATTTATATGAGAAAGGCAATAACACTCTTCTCATATGCTGGTATTGCAACCTTTTTCAAGACTGTTTTAGAGACATTCAGTTGAATGTTGAATGGCTTTAAAAACTCAGTGCCCTTCTGAACAAATGTTCCTTCCTTTTAAGCTTCTAAAAACTGATTCATTCTTTTAAATCTGTTTAAACTTCTTTTTTTCTGGAAAATGCACTTCCATGAGCTAAAGTGGCCAAGTTTGATATACCATTGATTTATCCTGCAAAAGGATAAATTTCTTTCTCTATCTTTCTTTCTCTATCCATATAGGCATAACCTACAATATTATTAACAATTACAGTTCTGGTCTCCACAAATGCATTCTTCTGAAAACCCTAGGGAAAATGTACCCCACCAAACAAAAAAAAAAAAAAATGCTTAACAGATTAATATATATATATCTTTAATTTTTACAAACTGTACAGATAACTGCCACAAATCTCAGGTGTTTTACCATCTTGATGATTAAATCATCTCTTTAAGTAGCAGCAAAAATTTTATAACTCTCAGGGCTTGCATCATTAAGTACTGAAAATAACTTGAAGTGCTGCGCAAAGCAAACGGTACAGTTGTAAACTCCTACAGACTCTGAGGAATCTGAAGCCCCTCTTAAGGCAATAGTCAGTAATATTTCACACAAATAAAAAGCTAATTCTCTCCTTTTTATTATCAGATGTTCTAGTCATTCTGCTATTGACATCTCTAGCTCTGCATTACCATTTCTGTACCTGCATACACTTGTATGCGTCTGCACACACTGGTTGCCTACATCAACTCATCTAGAATTGCTATATCTCTACTACCTCTCCCCAAAACAGGCTGAAAACTAATCCACTGTCCATGAATAACAAGTTTCTTAACAGCAGCTTTTCACTACGGAGCTTGCAATCTGTCTCCCATTCCCTTTGTCAAATTATGGTCCACATATCAGCCATTTGCAGCAGTGATATATCTGTCAGGCGTCAAGCACATCTCTTGCAAAGCAAAGTCTTTTTTAGGATTTTTTAACTTTCAAAATGTCTAATCCCAAACATGTAAAATAATGAGTCAGATGCCAAAAAATCATGAGGATTTAGGTTTTTTCCTGTGTGTGTGGGGGAGGGTGTTTGGTTTGTTGGGCTTTTTGTTGTTTTATTTTGCTTGGTTTTTTTTTGCTTTTTGTTTTTTGTTGTTTGGTTTTTTTTCTGGGGTTTGTTTATTTGGTTGGTTTTGGGGTTTTTTTGGTTTTTTGGTTTTTTTTTTTGTTTTTTTTTTTTTGGAATATGTTAATGCCCCTTCCTTTGCTTTCTGGAGCTTTTTCTAGGTCATGTTTTCAAGCTTTTCTCCAAGGCCAGAAGGGTTTCAAACATTATTAAAAAGAAAGCAACTGAGATCCTTTTGTAATTGCATGTTTAAGAAAAACATTTATTGCCATCAAACTTAAACTCTGTTGAACTGACAACCAAGTATCTTCAGAGATGTTTTTGATCAAATAATCCTGAAATAGGAATAATACTTCAAACTTGTTTTCTCTAGAGTTTCATTTGCATTACTTACGTATTTTTTTCCAGATAATTAAGCTTTAATGAAAGCAGGTTGTTAGACATGGAAGAAAGTCATGACTTAACACTATCTTGAAGGACTCTACAATATCAAAGTATCAGAGGTGCAGATTATCTCTCTCTGCATATACACATATGTATATCCTCACACAAACAGTGATTTCTTCATCTGAAATTTGTGATTTTCTCCCCCTCAATACTGAGTGCCCTTGAAATCTTTACAGTGGTTTCTTTTTTTTTCTTTTTCAGTGTTGAGGAGACAGTTTTGTGTGACAACATGCATTACAAATCTTAGATCCTAACTGGTTTGTAATGGAAATGTTCATGAGTACTGATAAATATAACCATTCCTGTTAATCATCATCATCTCAGCTTGTTTGTGTGGCACTCAGTAATTAGTTTTTATTTAAAGAGAGAAAGACATTCCTTTCTTTTCATAACACAATTCCTCTGTTGGGCATTATCTAAGCTCAGCATAGTGTCTTTCCTGTACTCTTTCTCTTCCATCCTTTCTGCCCTGATTAAGACTACTGGAGACTCAGCAGGTAACCCAGTAGGATTGCTCATGGTGTCTTCAAGTCACCTTTTCTTTCATTGTTTTTGCCTGTTAAACCTTGTTATGCTCATCAATTCCTCTCCTGCATCCCACTGGATTCTGAACTTTCCTTTGTCAGCACCCTTGTTTGTTGCTAATTGAGCTCCCCTTAATTTTCCCTACCCCATTTGCTTGTCCTTCCTCCCCTCACAGTTAGGCCATCTCCTCAAATGTCCCTCCTTCATCCTGTGCCTGGTGTCACTCTGTACGACCAGGCCTGAGCATCATGATTAATGAGGTAGACCCCAGATGACGAAATATTTCACGGGCGCACTTTACTTTCAACTTGTTTCCTGTTTTCTGGGACACGCTCACGGATCACAGCGTATTTGTGCCACCACAAAGTCTGGGCGATAGCTTCCACTCTTCTGCGACTGGAGACGACGGGCTCTGCTGGCAGCTCGACCCACATCTACCACAGAGGGCTGCCAGGGCAGAGGGCTCGCCCGACCCCAACTTTGCCAAACGTCCGCGGAAGCGGCTCCGCGGGTCTCACGGAGGCACCGCAAGAAACCTGCCCACGGGCACACCAGCAGCCCCAGGCAGGGGACCGAGCTCCCTCCGTGCTGCCACTGCCACCTCCCCCCGCGGCGCGGCGCGGCCCGGCCCGGCCCGGCCCGGCCCCGCGGCGCGGGGGTGCCATAGTAACGGGCGGGGGCCGGGCGGCGCCGGGGGCCGGGCGGAGGGCGCTGCGAGAGGGAGGGGACGGCGGCGGGATGGCGGGCGCGGGAGCGCCCCCTCTCCGCGGCTCCCGGCCCCGGCGGCCGCAAATGGCTCTTCCCTCGCCGGCCCCTTTGTGTGAGGCACGCTCGGAGCGGCGGCTCCGCGGCGGAGCGCGGTGCGTCCCCTGCCGCTGCCAGCCCAACCCGGCCCGGCCAGGCCGAGCCGAGACAGGCCGAGCCGAGCCGAGAGAGCCGAGCCGAGAGAGCCGGGAGGCTCGGGGCGGCCATTCCAGCGCCTCGGCGCCCCGCTCCCCCCGGCGGTGCGCGGGGGGCCCGGCTGCTGTCGCCACCTCCCCCCCAGTCCTCCCCAGGGCCCTCGCTGTGGTGGGTGACCAAAATACACCTCCACCAAACCAAAGAAAATAAATAATAACAATATTAATTAAAAAAAAAAAAAAAGGAAAAGAAAGAAAAAAAAGGAAAGAAAGAAAGAACGGGAGAAGAACAGAGGGAGCGAGCGAGAGGGAGGGAGGGAGAAGCGAACCAACTCCGAGACTCCCATAAAGAGCGGCACGCACGGAGCGAGCGCCCCGGTGCCGATGCGTGGGGGAAACAATAAGTACTCGAAGTTACCTGCCCTGCCGTAGAAGAAGGAGGGTTCGTGGGTTCTCTCGCAGACATCTGCAGACCGGTGCTTTTTTGGAAGAGATTTTTTTTTTTTTCCTCTCCTCTCTCTCTTTACAAACCACAAACGGATGTGAGGCAGGGAAGGTGTTTGACTACTGAAGTCAGGCACCTCTTTTTTTATTCTTCTCAGTCTTGTGTGTCCCCCCCCTTCCCTCACATACACACACACACACACACACACACACACACACACACATACACACACGCTCCTCCCCCCCCCCCCCCCTTTTTTTTTGCACCAACATTAACGACCAAAAGAAAAGGAAAGGAGTTTGCTTGATGTTTTAGTGAAATGGACGTAAGATTTTATTCACCACCTCCTCAGCCTGCAGCCGCTCCTGATACGCCTTGTTTGGGACCTTCCCCCTGCCTGGACCCCTACTATTGCAACAAGGTGACTCGTGTTTTGTGTCGTCCGAGGTGTTTTATCTGTGCTGTTGGTGTGTGCTGTTGTCGCGGCGTGTTGCATGAGCGGGCGCTGCGCTCTGGCGAGCCGCGCACCAAGTTCCCCGGCGAGGCGGAGGGAGGGCAGCGGCACTTGCCGGGGTTTGGGGTTTGGGGAGCACAGTGCCGCCCGCCGCGGAGCGGTGCCGCCGGGACACACACCGGCTCCCCCTCAGGCACCCCAAATTAAACCCCTGGAGTAGGCTGGGGGCGGGCGGCTGGAGCGGGGGGGGTGGGTGGTGGAGGCATTTTCCATAACATCTTTTCGGAGAAACGGCGTGGACGGGGATGTTGATGTGGGGGACTTGAATTTCTAGGGCTTTTGCTAATGGGAAAGATCGCGCCCGCCACAAACCGGCAGAAAGTCTGCCCCGCAGTTCATGTGTCAAAGAGCCGAAAAGCACGTTTGTATGTGTGTACACACACATACACACACACAAACACGAACATCTCTCTGTGAGCATAGTAAGTCCGCATAGTGTTGACAAGTCGGTTCAGAACATCGGCTCCACTTTGTCCCGGCTGTGCAACTGCCTTTCCAATTTCTCTGTAACTTTAAGAGATTAAACCTCTGCAAACAGGGTCAGTACATGAGGAGAGCTAAGTTTTAGATCCCCGAGCCCTAGGGAAGGAGGAACCGCAGAGGATACACGCGCTAGCCCAAATCCTGAGTCCGGTTCCGAGAGTTTGGTGCTGCGATCCCGGAGCACTTTGCGTGACTTTTGCTGCCGAGGAAGGGGGCTGGGGTTCCTGCATTGTTACTGCCGCCGTAGCCTGAGCCAGCTGGTGCTTTATGCATGAGCTGCACTTTCTCTGCTGTTACGGAATGGGCTTTGCACGTGAATAAAATGCTGGCTGTAGGAAATGAGTTACCCGGAGCACTTCTTCGAGCACAGCCCGGCCAAAGGGAGCAAGCCGGGAGAGAGCGATGGGTTCAAAGCTGCGCGCTCGGGCGCCTGTTTGGAAGCCCGCCGTGGCAGCCCGTGGCGGGCTGCAGCAGCAGATGGCTTTTCGCAGCGCAAGCCCCGCCGTGCGCAGGCTCCGCAGGGCCGGCCGCGGGTGCGGAGGGCGGCGGCGGGGCTCGGTGGCCGGCGGGGCGCTGCTACGGAGGGCAGCCCCCGGCCCGGCCCGGCGAACAGCCCGGTCCCGCTCCTGGCTATTGTCGTGACGGTCTCACGTGTCAGAGAGACGTTCCGAGCCGTCCCTTTCATCCCGGGCAGCTGCCTCGATTCAGAGATAAACAGCAAAATAGAGTGTGCTTGTGCTGAGGCGCGGAGGCTGCGGCGCCCGGGTGAAGCCCTCTCAGTTTTCAGGAAAGGTTTCCCACATGGTCGCATCTACCAATCACAACAGAAAGGACCAAATTCATCCTGGCTGCATTTCACATATACTCAATGGAGTTATAGAATCCAGGGATAAATCTGGCCCTTTGTGGTGGATGCCTCAGGATATTTCAGGAGAGATCCCAGAGGTATGACTGTTAGTGTTGTTTAAAGTAACTGTTTTCCAGCATCTGGGAAACGTGCGCTGTATTTTGGAAGTTTGTGCCAGGAGTGAACTTGGTTCAGCAGGAAGAGTTCAAATGCGAGGGAGCATTTATGTGTTCATTAATGTTCTGTTAGTGCTCTGAGTAATCATGAGGCTACTACTACTTTTCATCTGTGGTTTGCTGTTATTTTTTCTATTGTCAGATTTGTAAATTGTAACATTGAAATGTTGCCATGTGAAAAGCTTGGGCTGATATTAATGCCATAAGAACCAAAGTGTTTGAAGACCTGTTTGGCAGTGAAACTGGACAAACGTTATTAAACCTATCAATGATTTAAAGCTTCAGAAAGAAGGTAATGACTTGAATACACATTTCACTCATCATTCTTGAGATAGTGGGCCAGATTTAATTTAAAAGTTAAATGCTTTGGAAAATCAGGAATTACTTTAATATATTAAATCATTTTCCAATTAAGTTCCTTAAATAATTTTTGGTGTGTTGCACTCCAAATCGAATAAATTAATTTAGAAAGTAATTTTCAGAATTTCTTTACTAGCTGGTTAAAGCTTCTTTCAAGTCATGCCATGTATGAGGGAGCAAACTGTTCTTTTCAAATGCAAATGAGACACTCATTCTGTAGACAAGTTGCAACTCTTCTATTTCACTTTGCCTGAACTGATAATGTGCTTAAAAGTGCACAGTCATAAGACATATGTTTTATGCTTGGAAAAGACTTAACAGGAATGTTTCAATATAAGATATTGAGTACAGAACAAATGTCTTTCTCAGATGTCTTTACCACTGACCATTGATAACACTAAATGGACAGAGTAGATTTGCCAGGCCCCTTGGAGGCATACATTTAGTGAGCATTTCATTTTTCACCCCCTTCACTCTCTCCCTTTGCCCAGCATGATTAACATTGCTGTGAAAACTTATCTGACTTGTTCTAAACATGTCGTCATGTTACAGTATTGCTCTGTCACTCATTTTCAGGCTGTGTGTATTTAGGGAGTTGGAAGGGCGGGAGTCCTGCAGAATTTTCTGTTCAGTATGTTTGGTTGAGTGTTTGCTTTTAAACTCTCCCAGGAAAGGAGATGATGGCTGGAGTGTGATAGATCCTTGTTCTGGGTCAGAATGGTGGTCTTCAATAGGTGTCTACCTGCAAAACTCATTCAGAACTCATTCAAGATCCTCTGGGATTTTGTTTCTTGTAAAGTTAGTTAAAACTTGCTTTTGGCACTTACTAGTGGATTTGGCCCTATTTTTCATACCTAGGTTTTGCTGGTGTTTTTCCTTTTATGAATTTGCCAGACTTTGATTCTTTACATTTGAAATCTGCTTGAGCTGCTGGTAATTTAGAATTTATTCCACAAATACTTAGGCTTTTAAGTTTTCTAATTGTTCTGTTAGCAGTAGCTTTTTTCCCCTGATCAGATGGTTGGTTGTAGCATACGAGTACTCAGGCACATGCATGGGAGGTATTGACTCTGCATTTTTCTGTAGCCAGAGGAAAATAATGTAGATTCAAACAATCGCCTCTTATCTTACAATTTTCAGTTGGCAGGCTTTGTTTCAGAAGACTGCTTAGATCTTTATTTTATAAACCTAAAATAGCATTCTAAGCATCTTAGCCTAATATTTCTCTATCTGCTGTGAAAGCTCATTATACTCCGCATATATTGTTATGCAGGCTTTTCCTTGTTTCTCTTGCATTACCCATGGAGAGGGAAAAGTGGAGGAACAATGCAAACAATGTTGGTTATGACAACTGTGAGAGGTATCTCTTATACAAACAGACAGAATGGACGGTATGCTTTGGTATATAGGTCAGCCTTTGAAATAACATAGCGGAGCTCTTATGCTGGACAGATTTAGGGTTGGGGTTGTACTGTTTGCCTCTTGAAACTTGAAGCATAATTGCAATTCAGATATGTTCAGGCTAATGTGAGTAGTCTGTTCAGTTGAAGTTTATTTTAGGAAATGTCACATTCTGTAATTGAGTTGAATGATATAAAAGAAATGACTTTGATAATCCAAGTGCCTTAATTTGATAGAATATGGCCAGTGATTTCAAGCTGCCTGAAGAAGTTAAGCTTAAATGTTTATGTAGACAGAAGTAAATAACAGCCTTGTGGCTTTCCCTATTGAAGTGTCACCTCCAAAGACCACTTTGATCAGTACTATAGGAAGGATAGGTATATTTTAATTTTCATACTTGAAACTTTACAGTGTTTTCAGATATCTGCTCACATAAAGTTCAGTTATATAATTGTAGTTTGACACAGCTAATGACAGGGATGCTGACCTCTGCCATCAGTAGGCAGAAAATAATGGTCTTTACTGCTCCCAATGGTTAGCCTTGCAGAATTATGCACTGGATTCTTCTGTGATTTGCTACCTTGTTCAAAAATACAGGAGCCTACAACTCATCTTTCTTGTATTCACTGGTAGTTGTCAGTGCAGTGGAAAAATACAGCCAGAAGCAGAGGTAAAATGATAGACTGTAGTTGTTTTTAAAAAGAGGAATAAGGAGGAGAAAGGAGGGAGAGGGAAGCAAAACCTTTCAAAATGAAAAAAGCAGAGTGACTCTGGGTAGGAGTGGATAAGGAGATATAATACAGTGCTTTGTAAGCAGGTAACAATCCCGCTTGTAATCAGAATTCCATGGAGCAAAAGTGCATATATTTACACTCAGCGTTTAGAGTAATTTGTTGTGTAAACTTAACCCTACCATAGAGACTACTCTAAATAAAATGCTCCATGACTGTTTACAAAGTGTACATTATTTCTAGGTGCTTGTTTCCATCCAGCCTCTATCTCAAACTCAGAATTGTGGCAAGCAGGCTCTCTGAAGGACAGCTCAAAAGTTGAAATACTATGTTACTGCTTTGACAGTGTTTTAGGTTTTGCTCATAGTGTTTATCCTGAACATATTTTTTTCCCCCTTAAAAAAAATAGTAGATTCTCTATTGCATTTGAATCATACTTGAAATTTGTTACTGTTTCATAAAGGAAAGATTAAACAGTTGCATTAGGGATGACTGTTGATTTTCAAGTCTTAAGTTTCCTAGTTTCAAAAATACCACATATGAAGAACTGAAATGGTCTTTTCTTTAATACCTTAGTATGTAGTCTCAAGTGTGCCTCCTTAAATTTCAATGTTTCAGAAAAGAAGTGGTCCCAATTTTAGTGGAACACAGAAAATGATTTATGTGTGTGCTTTTGAGAAATCTTTCTGAAAGATGTCTATAAACCAAAGCATTTGCAGTAATTTATTTTTTTTCTTTCTGACAAACATCAGTACCTTAAGAGGAATTATGTTTTATTCTCATACCAGAATGATGTGTTTCATCTCTAGAGCATTACCCTCAATCAGCCTATCATGAGGTCTTATGAAAAAAAGTGAAACCAGTAAATTATTAAGAATGCTGAATTAACTAAACACTACGGCACATGCA